GATCCATTTATATAAAAACCTGTCTGAAAATGAACTGATCAGATTTTGGCCATTTTATGAGGTCATAACGATTTTTTGGATTGTGTAACCATTAGCCTATAACCAACAAAGGTAACCCCCCCCACCTTATCACCTGAATCTCCTCCTAGATCACCATTGTGTTCTTTTTAACCAAATATCTCTCAGAGGGGCGTGGGGAGTGGCTCCTTATTTTCATCTAAAGTGACAGACAGAGAATCAGCACTTTTGAAACAGGGTTGAAACAGAGGGGATTATGGGTAATGCTGCAATGATCTGTTTGGTGTTTCAGCCAATCAGAGACAGGTTCTGTATATATCTAAGACCTATAATATATTGATGAAAAACAGTATAATAGGGGACCTTTAAAGGATATAAAGAAAAACACTCCGATGTCCATCATTGATACATGACTTCCTGTTTCAGGACGTTCCAATGGGTCAGTACCACTTCCAGAGACGAGAAAGGTGAGCCAGAAACAAAACTATGTAAACTGTAAAATATGATAAGGTCATGACCATAGACTGGTCATGACATACAACTCAGTTTTTACAAAATATCTTCACATGTATGGGACCATTTTTATTCCGTCTCCATGTTTGAATCTCTCCTCCCCACCCCTCGCTTCCAGGTCCAAATCTCAAAGGAGGAGGTTTGAGGAGGAACTCAACGAGCGAATGATTCGCACCATCGACGGCATCAACTCGCAGAAGTAAGCACCATGTCTGCTGCTGCACATCCTTCATCTACATCACTATCACTTATGAGAAGAATGACTCCTAGTACTAAGAAGTAGAAGCTTCAAGTCAGCTTGAACAGTCAGAAAAAGTATCCTCATAAGTTATCTGGCTATTGTGCTCCAGTTATTATATATTAAACAACAATGATTTAATCTTTATGTAAATATCTGTTTTATGATATTCTGTATTTCAAGAAACACAAAGAAACAGCTGTTTTGAATAAAAAAAGGTGTTCTTTGCACATGTCATAACATTGTAGCATTTTTAAATATTCTTAAAATGTAATAAAGACCAACGCTAATGTTCAAATACAGAACAGATTTTAGATATTCATATAATACATGCGTGTGTGTGTGTGTCTGCAGACAGTGGCTGAAGTCTGAAGACATCCAGAGGATCTCTTTGTTCTTTCACAACAAAGCTCTGGAGAAAGAGGTAGGCGAATCTTACAAAATCCCTGCAAGCGTTATTTACTAGGGAAACGAATCCATGCAAGAGTCTAGAAGGAATAACTAACATTTAATTAAAAAAGAGAAGTGTGTGTGTGAGAGAGAAACTTCCTTTGGAGGGAACTTTGGGAATATTAGCCTTTGCAGACCATTTACATGCACTAAAACCCATATAACACACTACAGGAGAGGGAAACTCCAAAAAGCATATAAGGGCCTCTTTTAATTATTGGATTAAAAAAATATATATACAGTAACAACTTTTCTACTCATTATTTATGGATCTATAGTTTTCTGCTTTATCCCTCACAGAAGTCTGTTATTGTTATCGTGCATGCAATATAAATAAAAGTTGACTTTGCCGTAGCATGTTTTTTCTGCTGCTCCTCATAACATTGAACCCTGTTTCCCATTTGTCTTCCTTCTCTCAACAGTACAGATCCACAACATTACCAGCCTTCAAGTATTACGTGACCTGCGCCTGCCTCATATTCTGCTGTATGTTCATCGTGCAGGTCCTCGTCCTGCCCAAGTAAGTCGTCCCCCCCCCCCACGGGGTTTACATACCAGCCAACTCTATCTGTGGCGGCGGGTTGATGTGAGAAAGAGCCATTTGACACACCAGCTGTCTCATCAACAGTACCACGTTGAAATGAAAGGAGGCAGGATGCTAAAAAGCAGATCGAGATGAAAAGGCTCCATGTCTGCTTAGTGATTATAGATCAGGTGAATCAGACTGCGTCGCCTCTTTCATGGCGAGGAAAGAAATTCACCGTCATGCTAATTTACTGCCTCTGGGAGCCGAAGGTGTAATTCAGCTTCTGAGGGCCATTGATCGTACAATTCCCCCCTCGCTGTCTTTGTCTTGGCTCTGTGTGTCGCAGCATCGCTACGCACGTTTAGAAGTGACATCATCTGTTTTATAGCAAGGGTCCTTAAATCAGACGAACACAGAAAATGCGATATATGGGCGTTACTGTATTACAAAGCACATTCAGTACTGTAGCATCCACCTTCCTGCTTATATCCACGTTCCTGCTTATATCCACGTTCCTGCTTATATCCACCTTCCTGCTTATATCCACGTTCCTGCTTACTCTGTGAAAATGGAATGCAGGTCGGATGTAGAATACATTAGAACCTGCATTTAATTGTGTGTGTGTGTGTGTGTGTGTGTGTGTGTGTGTGTGTGTGTGTGTGTGTGTGTGTGTGTGTGTGTGTGGCAGAACTGCTGTGCTGGGGATCTCCTTTGGCCTGGCGTTCCTGCTCTTGGCGTTGATCCTCCTCCTTTGCTTCGGTGGTCAAATACTGGTGAGTTTGAACTGATTTAATAAGTGTACACACACACACACACACACACACACACACACACACACACACACACACACACACACACACACACACACACACACACACACACACACACACACACACACACACACACACACACACACACACACACACACACACACGTACTGTTTAAAGATACTTCTTCTATATGTTTTATTTCCATTTCCTGCTACTTTCTACTTCTACTCCAATACATATCAGTGGTAGAAATTATAATCTGTAATTCAATATTCTTTTCACTTTAGAGTTACTTTAAATATGTAGAATCATCATAAACAAAAACCTGTACCTTTCTTATTTATCTGTATATAAATTATATACACACATACAGTTGTTTTCTCTATATGCTGGTGACACAATGGATTCCTTCATTTATTATTTATTTGTATTCCCATTTACATTCATATTCACACTGCCATACAAACATACAGAACATTATGTATGTCCGTCAGGTTTAACTACTTAAGGGAATGGCATATCTTATGTGCATAAAAAAAGCATACAAATTGTATGAAGTTTGTCTACATTTTCAAACAAGCAGTTAATGACTCTTAATGCTCCAGAACATGATTTTATTTATGTCTGCGCAGAAGAAAACAATCACTGAATTCACATTGCCCATCTTAGCTGTTTCTCCATATATCTTTTTCTCATTTTAGCTGCGATTTCATCCAAAATCAATGTGTTAATTATCCCAGCTGTTGGAGATTTGGCTCACATCTTTCTCTTTTTTCACATGGATTCATTCCTTCACACAAAGAAAGATGTCTTTCCTTTACTGATCAATAACTAAGATACTGCTGAGTCGAGGTATGTTTTGTCATCACTTTTTTTTTTTGGGATCACTGTGTGAACTGCAGCCTTCCTATAAGGGCTTTATATGAGCTTTATTCTCCTTCATACAACAGTCCATCCATCGTGTCACTGCTGCTTGTTATTGAGCACAGTGGAACAATGGAGGGATGGGTGTTATTTACAAGCTGCCTGTCACAAGTGTTTTATGGTCAATCAATAAATGCTTCGCCCTTTAGAGCCTTGTTCCCCCCCCCCCCTTCTCAAGAGAGTTTTATATCGCTATAAGTGGGTCATCACCTGTAATTAATGGGAGGGGGTTAATCTATAATGCTGTATCTGCGCTGACCCAGATATCAATTTTATAAACTGCCTCAGTAACAACTTAGAGAGAGATCCTGTTTAATGGGTGTGTTGTGCTTTCCATTAAATGTATCGCTCAATGAAAGCTGATGTGGTCACTGGTGATTGGTGAAAGAGCCTGTTATTGACCAATGAAGTCTCACGGCAAATGTGTGCATGTGCGTTTCGCTGGTTGGGTTTGTGTAAGGACTTTTTAATGAGGCTGAATAAAGTTCAAGGACATGATTAATTTATCTGTGAAAAGTTGCATTACATGTTTATTGTGATGAAACAACATTTCTTGGAAAATCCAATTAGATAATCTGTTCTGTAGGAGAAGGCATCACCGCAACTACTACAACTACCGTGTAAAACACACTGCCATTATTTAGCGACAATTAGAAGAAAACTTCGATATATCTATGAACCATCACTCACTTCAGCGTGTTTTAGATGTTCATTTCATCTTCACAGAGTACATATTATATTCATTTTCTTGCTCATGCTTGTATTTTAGGTGTCTACAAGATCATGTTGACATGCTTTTATTCTAAAAGGGCCCTATTGTGCTTTTTTGGTTTTCCCTTTCCTGTAGTGTGTTGTTTTTGTGTATTTGAATGGTCTGCAAAGGCTACATTTCAAGAGGGACTTTATCACACTAAACCCCTAATTACCTGATTATTTGCCTCCTCAGCAGGGGAAGAAGGGCTCCTTCTGCTCCTTCACCTGGTTCCCCACTTCCTCCCGCATCATCGTCACCAACAATCCCTGGCTGCGATTGGTCCTCACCATGACGACCACAGCTCTCATACTTGTGATGGCGGTGTTCAACATGGTGAGAAGTTATTTACAGGTTTCTATGTGTTGGACTGGCATTCATACCTGCATAAAGTGCTAATGCAATATTTAGAAACCATAACATAGGCAAGTTTTAACAGTATCAAAAGTAACATGTATCTAGTTTATAACATTTAATTTGTAATAAAGACAAAAAATCAGGTAATTTATGAAGTTGTCGAACCAATCTATATTTGTTTTTTTATAAGTTTAATAAAAAAAACGCTAGAAAATATAAAAACAACCAACACATGAAGCCAAGTGAGAAAGTGTGTGTGCTTGTTTGTTCGCCCCATTCAACAACAAAACCTGAAATTGGTAACATGGACTGTTTCTGAATACTGTTTTTAAGGTTAAAATGATGAAGTACCTGATTTATACTACTCAGCCGCTCTGGCGCTGATTATCTAGTCACATAATGAAAATGTAATTGTATTTATATAGCACCAAATCCAACAAAAGTTATCCCAGGCACTTTTTATTTTTAACTGGTCTAGACTGTTATATTATTTACTGAGACCCAACATTTTCCACCATCAACAAGCACTCGGCCTCAGTGGCAAAGAAAAACTTAACAGGCGGGCAAAATGTAGTTTAACTGTTTTTATCCGTCAACTCTTGTCTTCAGGGCAAAACATAAACTCAATATTAACCAGTTCTGGCGCCTGCAACTGTTAGGTGATTTCTGTTTTGTTTTGCAGTTCTTCGTGGAGGACCCTGGAGGATCGGGGGAGGAGGTCATGACAACTACTCCACCTGTGAATATAACTAATGACAGCCTGCTGGAGTACATGGAAGAAAACACAGGAGAAAACAAGTTTTATCTGCCAGTAAGTACAACAGGGAGAGGTCATCAATATGGATGGAAAGAAGGTTAAAGGGGACCTATTATAGATGTTGAGGTTTACCATTTCCTGTAGTGTGTAAAATAGGATTATGTGCATGTAAATGGTCTGCAAAGGCTAAAACCCCAAATTTCTCTCCCCCCCCCCCTGCCTGAAACTCCTCAATTGAACCCTTTTGTTTACTTCAGTGATATAGTGACATCACTACCTAACACCTGCGCTTCCATTGGCTAGCACTCTAACATATTGTACATGATAGGCTAAAGGGTGGGACATCTCTAAGCGGTTACCCAATCACAACAGAGCCAACCAGCTAACCAATCAGAGCAGACTGGGCTCTGGTTTCAGACAGAGGGTGAAAAGAGGTGCTGCTGCACAGGCAGTATGAGAGAAATAAAGAGCTTTTTGAACATTAAAGGATGGAGACATGTCACAGAAGGGCACAAAATACAAATAGGAACCTGAAAATGACCATAATAGGGCCCCTTTAGTTTTTAAAAGTCTACTTACTAACCACCAGTATCCCAAAAGTAACCTAAATGAGTTAACATTTACCTAAAACGGTAAAGTTAGAGATTTGTGTTTGGAAAAATTCATCTTCAGTGTTTTCCACAGGGTCAAACTCTTCACTGCACTTTGAAAATTAGGAGGCTTAATCCATGAAGAACTCTTTGTGCTATTCTTAACCATTAACATATTGGTTGTACAAATCTTTACGGTAATGACTCGGCAAAAAAAAGTCACCCCACAAAGCATGGTAAACAAGAACACAAGACTGAGAACAGTTTGCCCCAGTAGATAATGGATTTTAAATCATCCCCCAATCATGTCTCTGCAGCGGTCCGTCACAGTCTAGATAGCTAATTACTAATTACTGAGCTTTTACTTGCAGTTTATACCATAACAGTCATGTAAATGTTTTTCTTTTAATTTAAATAACCCACGTTTAAGCTGCAAGGCATTCACTGAGGCAACGTCTCTATCCTCTCTCTTTAACGTAAAGCTATGTCAATGTTTTCTATTTACACGGGGAATCTTCTGTGCAGCCGTTCAAAAACTGTTAGGCTGATTAAATTATTTCACACCAAGCTAAAAGAAAATCACCCAAGCTGGCAAACCAAGATGTTTATAGTTGAAATCATCGGAAAGCGTCAGAGGCCTTCTTTACAAACTGGCTTACAGTAAACCACATATTTGATCATTTTATAGTATATCATAATCATGCTATATCCTCATGTCATTGTGGTGGATTACAATTTAGTAGATTTACTTGAGTACACATTTGACTTGAATTTTGTGCAATTTTTTACGCTTGTATTCCACTATTCTTTGGCAAATATTGTTATTTTTACTGCGCTATATTTATTTGACAACATTAGTTACTAAATACAAATACAAAATATAAAGTAGTATATTATTAAGTACACAAAATAGCTACAATTAACTCCATCTTTGCAATCTGCAACTTTAACATACACATTAATACATCAATAATTATATAATCCAGTAATAAAATATATGCCTTTCTGCACAATAAATACTTATGCTTTTGGTATATTTAGAAGCTTATATATTGTTCCCTAAAGTGGACCTATCATGCTATATTTGAATAATATAGTGTAGGACCATACCTATATAAGGCATATTTATACTTTTTATTTTTCAAAATACCAAACAGATCATGCATTTTAGCCATTCCTCATTTCGCTCAATTTAACACTGTCTTTGCATGGGCTGATTCTGTGAGAACAGCACCATCTACAGGCCTGGCATATGTACTACAGCGTCTCCAGCGCTTTCTAAAGGCAATATCCGTGGCTGTCTCCTCCTGATTGGTGGAGTTGGCCCAATAGCCGTCGCGCCACTTCTGTGACGTCAGAGAAGTGTTCAAACCTGGATCAGTCTGTATCAGATCCGTTGCAGCCCCTTTTTAAGAGATTTGGGTATGGAGGAAAATAGAGAGGGTTGTGTTTTCTGACACTTGGTGAGTTCCCTGGAACACCGGGGACACATATTCATGTATAAAAAACGTACAAAAGTGCATTTTACATGATAGGTCACCTTTAAATCAGGTTATAACTTGAATCAAGTACTTGTACAGATTACTTTTTCATAGTTTTACTTTTACTTAAGTAGAAGGGCTAAGTACTTTTTAACACGTCTGGTCAGTAAAACTTACGTCATGTTATCTCAATTTAATGTTACATTGTGTTGTAAACTAATGTAGTTAAGGTCTCACAGTGCTTCACCTGTGTGGAAAAGTATTTTAGATCTCCATATTTCTTTGTCTCTCTCTGTCCCCAGTACTTCATCTACTGCTGTATCCTGGGGCTGGTGTCGTGCTCTGTGTTCCTGAGGATAAACTACGAGCTGAAGATGGTGGTGATGCTGGTTGCCGTGGTGATCTACAACATCATCATCCTCCAGACACACGCCTCTCTGCTGGATGCCTTCAGCAAAGCACTGTACCCCACCAATAGTCTAGACAGGTACCTGCACACACACACACACACACACACACACACACACACACACACACACACACACACACACACACACACACACACACACACACACACACACACACACACACACACTCCTCTTATAACCATAATTAGTTGAGGTCACAATTTCTGTGTGAAACCCTTCGACCCCCCTTTGACCCTGCAGCCTGCTCACATCAGTCGAGCAGAGCGGATTCAAATCACTAATGAGACTCGAGTCTTGAGGGATAGCTGAGGTAGCAATATGCCAAATCCCTGTCAATCAAGTGCAACTGCTGGAAAGAAGGAGGATGAGTGGCAGAGTGAAAGCAGTTTGTGTTGATGGAGCTGTAATGATATCTGGCTTTTAACTGACAGCTGGAGTCTCACTGCTGAAGAAATCCCTTTCTGCAAACAGTTTTAAGAGCTGTTAGAAAGACTGTGGAACATTTTTTTTCCAACTCCAACCTTGACTTTATTAGCATGAAGAGTGTACACCCAAAGGATTGGGACATGCGGTACATAGAATTTTTAGACAGTGGTAAATAAAAAGCAAATAGACAAATGGTCAGGTTAGACTAGTAGTCAAAGGAAGCTAGCAGGCTTTCTGGTGCCACAAAATGTCTGTTGCTTCAAAATAAGAATCACTTTGTAAATGTGAGCCACCTTTCCTTTCTATTTAAACTTTTGAGAATATTAGCTAACTTGTAGCTTACTACACTGAACAAAAATATAAATGCAACACTTTTGTTTTTGCTCCCATTTTTCATGAGATGAACTCAAAGATGTAAAACATTTTCTATATACACAAAATAACCATTTCTCTCAAATATTGTTCACAAATCTGAAAAAATCTGTGATAGTGAGCACTTCTACTTTGCCGAGATAATCCATCCCACCTCACAGGTGTGGCATATCAAGATGCTGATTAGACAGCATGATTATTGCACAGGTGTGCCTTAGGCTGGCCACAATAAAAGGCCACTCTGAAACGTGCAGCTTTGCTTTATTGGGGGGGTCTGGGGGGGTCCGAAAACCCTAGGGTTAAACCCTAACCCTAATATGTCACCCATTGAGCATGTTTGGGATGCTCTGGATCGGCGTATACGACAGCGTGTTCCAGTTCCTGCCAATATCCAGCAACTTGGCACAGCCATTGAAGAGGAGTGGACCAACATTCCACAGGCCACAATCAACAACCTGATCAACTCTATGCCAAGGAGATGAGTGACATGTTAGGGTTAGGTTTAGGGTTTAACCCTAGGGTTTTCGGACCCCTCCAATAAAGCAAAGCTGCACGTTTCAGAGTGGCCTTTTATTGTGGCCAGCCTAAGGCACACCTGTGCAATAATCATGCTGTCTAATCAGCATCTTGATATGCCACACCTGTGAGGTGGGATGGATTATCTCGGCAAAGGAGAAGTGCTCACTATCACAGATCTTTTCAGATTTGTGAACAATATTTGAAAGAAATGGTTATTTTGTGTAAATAGAAAATGTTTTAGATCTCTGAGTTCATCTCATGAAAAATGGGAGCAAAAACGAAAGTGTTGCATTTATATTTTTGTTCAGTGTATTTCAAATGTTAATGAATTATTTTTAGCTAACTATAAGCTACTGTATCAACAGTTTAACTTTAAGCTAGCTTTAAAATGTACTATTTCAACGGTTTATCCTCGAACTTCTAGCACATTTTTTCAACTTTTATCTAAATGTTAGCTCACTGTTTACATTTTCTAAACATGATTTTTAATATTAGTGATCCCTTCACCTAACAGCAACATCAAGTAAGCGAGTTAATGGTCCTCTGTAAAAAGAAAAGCAGAACATCTTAATGGAATTGGTTGAATACAAGATCGTCCGATTTGGCCCCACATGATCAACATTGATATATTGTTTTGTCTCTACCTCTGTGTCCAGACCAGGAGTGCTGAAGGACCTGAAGACGATGGGCTCTGTGTCTCTCTTCATCTTCTTCATCACCTTACTGGTATTAGCCAGGCAGGTCAGTAGTCTTCTTGAAAAATCCACCACAATGAAATAACTACATCTGTGATAATAATAATAACCATAGTAAGATCTTATTAGGGCATCCAGTGCGTCATTTAAAGTTGTTTTGCACAAAAACTCTGCATGTGGAGACATTTTCAAGACACTTGAAACAGAGCAAGTGAACCTGCCTTCAAAGATTTGGTTCAGAAATGCTCGAAATACTTCAGATTGACATTTCTGTCGCGTTAGAGCAGCCAGTCTGGCCCACTGCCTCCATCTCTTCTGTGTCCAACATCCTTGCTTCATGTGAGAGCTAAACTCAGCTGACACAGATTTGGTGTGCGTGTTTCATCTTTCCTGGGGTACCATCCATCATCTCTGACCCCAACACAGATGTTCAGGATAGAAGGACTCCCCCCCCAAAGCTTCTGTACCCAAGACTGGGGCTCCCCTGAGAACACCAATGGGTCCAAACAGCGCCATGTGTTGTGCTCAATCTAGGTCACCAGAAGGGAGGGGAGCATTTATTTTGGAAACAGAACTTTGCCGTGGTAAACAATTTATCACTGTCATATCTTATTCCGGTATGCTCTCTTATCAGCATCTCCCAGGGTTCATTTGGTTTGTCCTTCCCAAATGCTGTTTGGGTATAAATGAGTGCATTGAAATGCTTCATCCATTATCCTCAAAAATATTTCTGGAAACAGGTCGAAAGGAATAAGAAGTGACGTCTCTGGAATCCCTTGACGCAGAAGTACGTCAATAGATGCTGCGTATGAGAACATCCTTTTGATGAACTTGTACCCTGCTATAAACACATTTGCTACATTTTCATCATCATCCCTAATGAGATGTTTACTTGGCCATTTAGTCAGAGGGAGGAGAAAGCAGGTTAGGAGAACATACGCATCTTTAATTCATCCCTCATGAACAGATGCGCGATGGAGCAAAGCTCATTTACAGACTAGTTAGCAGGTTTCTAAACGGCCTACTTTCTAAACTCCGGGAGGAGTTCCTCTTTCTGCAAGAGAGGCAAGTGCTCAAACTGTACACACACATATCAGGGTAGGGGGTGCTTTAAAATATATTCCAATACTTTTTCTAATTCCCTTTTCAGTTGCATTACTCAACAATATTATAGTCTGTTTGCCTGCTCATATAGTCCTATTGTGAACTTGGAAATGTTGAGCACCCCAAAGTTGTATATTAGAAACGTAAAGAAGGGGTCCCTAGCACATAGAAACTGTCGGTTGCTTATTTGCATATGTTGGTTAATTTGCACAATTGTCATAAGGTGCATTTATCAGCGTTAATTAGCATCAGACAATAGTTAAAAAATGGTTTGGCCGATTTGGAATCTTTTGGAGTGGTTTTGGGGATGTTGAATACATTTCTTACATTTTCAGGATAAAATAATGGCAGTTTGAACCTGGAAGTGGCCATATTTGTACTCCTGATCCGGGCTGATTTGAATGAATTTTGGGTCTCAAAACTGCCATTTGTTATCCTACAGATCCTACTTTTTTTTTTTATTCAGAGCAGAAAAAGGAAACGCAGCATAGTCTGTGAGTTCTGCCTCCCAGCTGCGATATGCTGTCATCCTCCAAGGATGTTAATCATTTGGCACATTAGTGTTACCGGAGCAGCGGCAGTTCAATTAAATTAAATTAACCTACATGCAGATTTCATGGCGGATCCTGTATCGCACCAATCTGAAGCAGTTGCAGTTCCTCATATCCTGCAAACCGGCTTTTCATGCTGGGATGCCTCTCTCCAAAGAGAACAATCTTTATGAGCTGGAAAGTCGTTCTACTTTCTGTGCCTGAAAGACAGAAAAATGACGAATTCTACACCCGGTAAAAGTATTTTTAGAGGCGACTGTGTGAGACGTGTGCTCTGGATCGTTAAAATATGTGCACAAGTACATCTGACATCTACGTAACGCGGTTCTTAGTATTCCGTTACTCCTGATGCCTGATATTCATACACAAATGATCCACACCATTATTTTTATTCTATGCTATCTTTATTTCCATTTCAGCCCCAGGCTATCAACACTATAGCAAAACATCCCAGCACAGAGCATATGGGCTTCACTGGTGGAGGCATGTACTGCCACCTCTTCCATCTCAAGGGAAAAAGTGTTCAGTGCACACATTTCTTTCAGACTGCTAACTACACACATCAAATACATCTCACAGGAAGCCAAAACTGCTCACACACACACACACACACACACACACACACACACACACACACACACACACACGAGCATAATGATGGTGTGTTCAAGGGACTCTGTCTTATGCACAAACACACTCGTGGGATGGTTTGACCCTGCAAAAAAGAAAACTCCCTCAAGCATGAAACATTATAAAAAAGAAAACAATAGAAGCAGTGGCTACCTTTTATGCAAAACAGTCCTGCTTCTTTTCTTTTTCCTTGAGCCACGAGAGAAGGGCTTTTTTATTTTATTTTTTTATACAGTTGGTTACGTTTTCCCTGAAATCCTATACATTTTTCATTGAATGGCAAATAATATAAATATTTAAGACACACTCTCATGTCTTTTACACATTTCTGTAGCTGAATACATCAGAATTTAACTGTTGAAAAATGAAATGTGGTCAGTTTCTTTTCTTCACCTGTAGATTCATAAAGTGTCCGTTAGCGTTGGAGAAGAGTGCTGGTGTGAATGACACAGGTGTCTCTTTACTCTGTGTCCTCCTGTAACAGAATGAATATTACTGTAGGTTGGACTTCCTGTGGAGGGACAAGTTCAAGAGGGAGTGTGAGGAGATCGAAACCATGGAGAACCTCAACCGGGTTCTGCTGGAGAACGTTTTACCTGCACACGTCGCCGAACACTTCCTGGGACGCAACTGGAAAAACGAGGTGAACATTCAAAAAAAAACTGTACAGTCTTTTTTCCTTTATGTTGAGTTGCGGTATTTATCTTTCAGGTTTTATTTATTAAAACATGTATTTATGATTGTAAGTTATAGGAATATTTTATGTTTGAGAATATGCTTATTTGCTTTTGCAATAATATGGTTGTATAAATGTGTAGCTGGAGACACAACCCTTTTAGCTAGCTGAGATCTACATGAAGTTATTGAGACATTCTGATTATTACATGCACAGTATCAATAAGTAATTGAATTTAAGGCACTCTTATTTCTTTTATTGTTTTGTGATATATGTTTAGTATTAACCATCATTAAACATGTGCTACTGTATGGTTAAATAGCAACAACTTTAACAACTGATGTTAAATGTCAGATCAAGTTTTACTCAAAGATATGTTTTGTACAAGGGTTTATGCAACAAAATAAATTGTAATCTCAAATCAACAAAACATACATTTTCCAATCCCATAATCATCTTGTTATCTTCAGAAACTGGCCTTTTTTAGTTTTCTTGAGAATAGACACAAATGAACGAGAGACAATTTGCTAAGAAATATCGCGATAACGGCTTAACATAATGAATTGAAACTAGGGAGTTTATACTGCCATACATACTTCCCAGTACATCATTTTTTTCCCTGCTCTGCTGCTTTTGCATGCCAACCCTTCCTTAACTCATGTTGCCACCTTTCCAATGTTTTTTATTCGGTCCATTTTAAGTTGCACTCGGTACCATCATTTAATCTGCTCTGAATCCTGTCTTTCCTGTGATGGATGCTGTTGCTATCTTGCTGCTGCAGTGACCTGACAGAAATGATTAAAGTGTCATTTTATTTATTTAAAGAAACGCCGTAATTGATCAGTGTCAGGTATTCAGCCCATAGATCTTCCCTCTGTGCTTGGGACTCTTTATTTTCTTTCGGTGCTCAATCAATACAACACATCCAGCTGTTATCTCCTCCCTCTCGTTACCAGGACCTTTATCATCAGTCCTACGAGTCCGTGTGTGTGATGTTCGCCTCCATCCCGGACTTCAAAGAGTTTTATACCGAGTCTGATGTCAATAAGGAGGGACTGGAGTGCCTCCGTCTTCTCAACGAGATCATAGCAGACTTTGATGAGGTAAACCCTTCTCACTCTAATAATCCTGCCATCTGACAACGTGGAAATAAATAATCTTTTTCTGAGACACAGCCACACTGACTGATTATGCTCTCAAGTCATCCTCCCTCTTCGTGTCTCCTTGTAGTCATGTGTCTTGTATAAGCATCTTTCTGTGGTTTGTGTGTCCCCTTTCCTAGCGTTCTAGGCATTTCAAGTGTCTTTGTGGTCAATTTGGTCTTTTCGTAGTCTTTTTTTCCCTTTGAAGTCATTTGTGTCTGTTCAGAATGGAGAAGGAATCACATTCATGTGCAATCATCACATGTACACACACAGTTTGGTGTCTCTTTGTGTTTTTTTGTGTCTCTGCGGTCATGTTTACTCATGTTGTAGTTGCTCTATGTCCCTTTATAGCCCTTTTGTGTCTCTTCCTAGTCAGTTTCTGTCAGAGTAATGAGACTCAAATTCATTTTGAATATTTTGTGCTTGTTTTGTATCACTTTATATTCATTTTTAATTATGTCTGCGTCTCAATGTTTTTGGTAGTCTTTTTGAGTCTTGTTTAAATCATTTTGAGTTGCTTTATGGTCATTTTGTTTCTATTCATTGTGGTTCCATGTCCCTATAACGGACATTTTGTAGGTAAATACCAGTAAACACCAATAAAGCAGTGTTGGCAGAGACATGCCGTGTTTTTACGCCTGTGTGTGTCATTTTTCCTCAGCTGCTGTCCAAACCAAAGTTCAGCGGAGTGGAGAAGATAAAAACCATCGGCAGCACCTACATGGCTGCAACTGGACTGAATGTGACTCCGGGACCAGAGTGCGCACAGGCATGATCTTACACACATGCACACATTGTCACACACACTGACATTGCATGTGATAGGACTCCTACTGTCAAGCTTTTATCCGAGCTCATATTTGGATAACAGAACAGAGAACAAGAGCCTTTTTGCGAAAACAGAGGGCCAAGTAGTTTTGGCAGCTTGATCTCATATTCAAAAATATTGTCATTTGTCATTTATGGCTACAAAACAGAATGAAGATAAAGCATCAAAATGTGTTTATTTGCTTTGTGTGGGTTGCCCTTAAAATGTGCTACACATAACATTTAAGCACCAGTGATTCATAACTGTGCTCATTTGAATACATGAGTGGTTTTCACTGGAAGCAAACTAGATCAGCACTCACAAAGGTGGCAGCACATAATTTTTATTTTAAAACCAAATCTCTTTAATGCCTGTAGGAAATCTGCTAAATTGACCATTTGCTAAAATCCCTTTCCCCCTGAAGATGTTACTTCACCTGTCAAGCCTCCCATTGTAGTACCGCACGTGAGGCAGATTTAACTCTAAATTCTTAGTCTTTTTTTGTAACTCTGGGAAAAATAATATTTAAAATGCCATACAGGGAAAACCTAGTTTGAACACATGGTCCAAACGACCATCAAGATAATGTTTTTTTAAAAAGCCAGTCAAAGAAAACTTGATTGAAGATGCGACGGGATGCAAAAGTTGAATTTCAAAGATGCAACAAATCATTATTCCACTGCATGATATTGGGGTGCTCATAATACCTCGTTTTCTCCCCCATGCATTTTAGGAACATGACCGACAGAACATGCACATTGGCACCATGGTGGAGTTTGCCTTTGCTCTTGTGGGGAAGCTAGATGTCATCAACAAACACTCCTTCAACGACTTCAGACTCAGAATTGGTGAGAACATTTCTTCACGGCGAATTATCCCATTTGAATGCAAAAGTAATGCTTAGAATACTTAATTATTTAGGAGAATGATCCATTATATTTGTGATTTGGTATTGCTAGGTATAAACCACGGGCCAGTGATCGCAGGGGTCATCGGGGCCCAGAAACCTCAGTACGACATCTGGGGAAACAGTGTGAACGTGGCCAGTAGGATGGAGACCACGGGGGTTCTGGGAAAAATACAAGTGAGGGTCTCTCTTTCCACATTAAAGGTCTTCCAGCGTGATAGAGAACTTCCTATTCTAGTCATGTTTCCTTCTTCCTGTGCAGGTAACAGAGGAGACGAATCACATCTTATCCACACTCGGGTACATGTGTTCGTGTCGGGGCATCATTAACGTGAAGGGCAAAGGAGAGCTGAAGACCTTCTTTGTCCACACGGAGATGACCCGATCTCTTTCACAAGGAACTGTGATGCCTTGAGTGGGCAGAATAAAAACAATCATACGCGAAGTGGCCGTAGATATTTCATGCGCCGTAACTTAAACCCATTACCAGCAGCAGCCTGCATTGGATACACGATTGTTGAGAAGCAGTTTTGTCTTTAGCAATAGCATTACAACGTAGAGGTGAAATGTCGCAGTCCTTCAACGCTGCACTCTGGATTTTTTTATAAACTCGAGTGTGACCAAGACATTGCCCTGAGGAGTCTCTTCACTGACTAAAGGAGTGCCTGACTAAAAAGAGGTTTGCTCTCAAGGACCGCAGCCGCCCGTCTGTACAGTAGTAGTGGTGTGGAGCTAAGTGCCAGTGTTGCAGAGCTTCAGAGCCTTATACTTGAGCTGCCTGCAGAGCTGTGTGTTATTTTTATATATCTGCCTGTTTGGCACTGTGAGCCGGTTTGTTCCATTTCATCCTAAATGGATGTTACAACAGCTAATTGTCTTTTAGGGTGCGATGGATGAATTGTATTTATAGCTTAAGAGCTTTAGAGAAACGTTTTTTTTTTTTATAATCCACTTAGAACCAGACCAACAGCAATGTGTGTAATGTCCACTGACATCCTTTTGTTATTCATTAAACATTTGTATATAAATTGACGTCTGCTGTCTTTGTGTTTTTTTTTTAGCGCTTTAAAAACAAGTGCAGCTTGAAAGAAGCATCACATTAAAGTAACATCTGTTATCATCTTTAGTTTGAATGATTGGAGATAACACAGGTTTTCATTTGGCATACTTATTTATTGTAGAGATCTTTAAATGCAAAAAGACAGTTTAAGGGGAGGCTCAGTGATCAGAAGAAAAAATAGTACATGCATTATGAAAAGATCACAAAGAAGAGCTTAAATATGTGTGATGAAGTCAGAGATACAAGAAGTATTTGCTGTTTTTCCAACTTTTCCAGAGTCAGACACATATTACGACAGACATTTTGTATGTATTTGTTACAGTCTGAGTTATATCAAACAGAAATATTAAACTATCTTGGCTCCACTGTTTGTCTGAGATCAAATATCACGATCATAATCCCTTAGGCATTCAGTAAATGATCAAAACTAAGGAAGGTGAGTGGGGGCCTTTTTTCTAAGCTTGTCTGAAATCAGCTGATTTATTTAATTAGATAATAGAGTGCCACAGTGACGCGTCCTAAAACCCGGAAGTAAACTCCTTCCGGTTCCCTCGACAAAAAAGCAATGCAATTTCTCCATAGGATTTTGGAAAATAGCTCGAAATAAGGTCTGTGGTTGACACACATTTAAGAGATGGATCACGTTTTGTTCAGCCGGATAATCTCCACATGTCTACCCTACTTTTATCATTTTCTAATCATAAATCTAATCGATAGATTTATGATCGATAGATATATGACCTTATTTCGAGCTATTTTCCAAAATCCTATGGAGAAATTGCATTGCTTTTTTGTCGAGGGAACCGGAAGAAGCTTACTTCCGGGTTTTAGGACCCTACTTTAACAGTAGCTACTATACTAGCATCTATTATATCAGACAATCATGTTATAGTCTACGTGAACAACAGTTTCTTTAATAGCATAGGATCTATTTTTAAAGCAATAGAAGCCATTTTGGCGGAAATACAAAGGAAATCTATAACAATGGAAAGATCATCTATTATTAAAGATGCTTATTTCTCCAAATGTCAATGTTTTCCTTTAAATTGAACATGATACTATATTAGTGTAAATGTAAATATCTCATTTATTAAAATACCCTCTGGTTTACAAATGCAAATAATCAATAACACTTTGTATTTTTTAGTATGAACACTATCATCAGATATGTTCTGTAAGTTAGAACAGTAATTATGATAAAGACTGTCCAACTGAAATGGACTGTGATGTAATGAGCTACTTTTACAGCAGACATCTCTCAGGATGAATCTCTAATCGAGGTGTGAAACCATTGTTTTAGAAAGTGTTTTGTCCACTTCATGCAACAACATTTCCAATTTACTCACCCCTTAAATAAACGCTGCTGTTCTAACAAAGAAACAGATTCAAATACTGTGTCCTTTCTAAGAATACATGCTCTATTTCTACCAGAGTACAAAGGAAGAAGAATTTAAGAGATGTCAAATGTTAAAAAAAAAAACATTATGTAAGAGGTTGGTCTTAGTTGGACAGGTTTAGTATTTATAAAAAGGAATCTTTCAAATCAAAGAGGTTATTGATGTGGATTAAGATGTGTTTTTACATAAAGAAAGGGTGACCAAAAACTTTGTAACTTGTACATTTTGTGTGGATAACTTTTTTCCCTCTGTAAGTACAAAGAGAGAAATCCTGTCTGTAAAAATCCACAATATACCTTTCATCATGTCTTATATAAAAGCCGTAATTATACTGAAGGCAGAAATCTGAACAGACTGATCTTTAATATGGTGCAATGTCGAGATGCAATAACTGGAAGACATTTTGGATGTGTGCCACCTTAACCTTAAATAACACTGGTACTGATGGAGCAATTTTAGCTTCAAACAAGAACATAGCTTGAGCTTCCTAGGAAATGTCACTTTCTTAATATCTTCTCGTATTTTGACGGAAAATGTCAATTTAAATAACCATTTTACTGCTCATAACCATAATGAATGTATCAGAATGAAATGTAACCTAATTAAAGTTTGCTCGATTCTTATTTTCATCAATTCAACTGAAATCTACAGGCTGCAACACTGGTTTATTATTTTCACTTTCATCTTATTTTATGATACTTTCAAATAGGGACCACTGATCCGTATGCCTGTGCCACATTCCAGGTGATCCCGTTTTTCATGAAAAATTCGGCTTTTGTGCAAGCGACACGAGAGTGCTGCCGGCCCGGTTGGTAGAGGGCGGGAACAGGGCGACGGCCGTACTCTGCAGAGGAGCGCACCGGGACGATCCGCAACTTCTCCTGGAGACGATCAGGCCAAAAGATACAGAATAAATACTCAAAAATAAATGAATTAAACTAATCTTGGCTTGACACTCCCCCTCCATGTTAAATTAGGAAACAGAAAATGGAATTAGGAAATGTATTGCATATAATAACCCATTTTTTAAAACTTAGATCAGGGTTGTGCAAACTACGGCCTGGGGGCCAAATGCAGCACGCGGACCATTTTGAATCGGTCCTCAGCAAATTCGAAAAGTATAATGGAATATGGCCCACAAATTAAACTTGTGCTTTTCTTATGTTGTATTTCTTAAATATATATGTAAAAATATATCACGTAGTAGTATTCATGTGTTAATAAACCCACTTTTCAAATAAATTCAGTCAATTAAAATTGGAAACGTTTTCTAACAAATCTAAGTTGATAAGAAAAAAGCCCAATAACTTATTTACATAACAAGCTTGACATACACACTTCCTGTTTCCCCTCATTACAATCAATCTGAGGCTTCTGTTTTAAGGAATGAGCTAAACACTTTTTGTAGCAAAGTAAATGGAAAGCATAACTTACCTACATTTGATTGATTTTGCTAACTTATAATTTAACTTATAAGGCAATATACCTCACTTCTAGCGAGTTGCCCAGCCCTTCGTATATTTTTCTGTATCTGGCCTTCGGTGAAAAATGTTTGGACACCCCTGACTTAGATCCTTTTAGTTCAGGGAGGTCCGGCTTACTCTTTTCAGAATAGACCGTACCTCCCTTCACTGCAGGGTTTTCTATTTCCATTAGTGACAGGATCAAATAATAACATGCTGCCATTATCCTCTGAATAGTTTGTACAAAAAATAGTTTTTAATTCACATTCAAATGTGAAGTCCTGAACAGAAACATCTACATTCAGAGGGAGCTGTCACCATCACTGCCAGAAAGCCTCTTGACTCACTGTAATTATAAACTCCACCGTGTGTGTGTGTTTGAGTTTGCATTTGAGCGTGTGCGCGTGTTGTTTTGACACCCTCTCTGCTTTCAGGGACCCAGAAACTCTCTGTGAGCCAGTTTACTGGACATAAATAATTCCTCTGTGGAGAGGAAATGGCTTCAAAAGGAGCCATCAACAGATGTCATAAAACTTAGATGTATGTGTCACTTACCACACGGTTCATATGGGACATTTCGAAATATAGAAGCTGTATGTAAAATATCATCTAAAGCTTCTGTTTTCAAGTATGTGTGTCTTTGCCCCACCATTTTAATATGAGAGACATTTAAGAATCATATATAAATCATATAAACAAATATGTTCAGGGCTATATACATGTTCCTATGTTTGTTATGTGTACATTAAATGTTATCAAAGAATAACCACTGATAACAGATGTTATTATGGTATGTAAAATCTGCATAAGTGAAATGAAATTCAGGAGTTCTGAACAACAGAAACATAGAGACCATTTCCCCTAAAATAGAACAAACAATGCTAATATTTTACTGAGTCCAGGCCAAACACTTGTTATAATCATAAGTTGGAGCTCATCAGCAAGCTTAACCAGTTTAAAGTGTGATCAGTACCTCCTCATTTATGTCCAGCCCTGTCCCTTTATGGTGTTTCCTGTCATCTCGGTGCAGCCTCATGTCGTAGCTCCCGGTCTGGTTGAACACTTGGTCGTACATGGAAACTTCCAGGACCTTTAAATACGAAGACAGTGATCATTCAAAGCATGTTGTAAAACACTAGTGCGTCCTAAATGCTCATTTGACTGAAGGTGCAGGAGAAAAGGGGTCAGATTAAAGCAATTATCCAAACAACCTCTTCAAATCAAGTTAAACAAAGAAAACAAATAAAATACAATGGTGTTACTGTAGTTTTCTGTTGTCAGAGTGTTATAACATTGTTGGACAAAGGTTCATGATCTTTCCATCTCCTTCTAAAACTACTTTAACGTTTGAATTGTTTCTGCAAATGTATTTCTAAATGAAGTGATGTCAATCGCCTTAATAGGTTATAATAAACTCTAGTGTTGTAGTGCCGAGAGATAGGAGTCGGAGGCGGTGCATCGAAGGTGCAAAAGGGAACTTTAATGAGGAGCAGAAAAGGACATGTCGCTGGCTTGCAGTCCGAGTAGACAAGAGAAAGAAAAGCCAGGAGGGCACACAATATATACAGGTAGCAACACATGTCCGTGCGGAAACAATACCCATACCCCAAAGTTCCGTGGTGAATTATGTCAACCAGTGATCACTACACAAGCCCCCCCAGAATTCAACCATGGACACAATCCTTGCGTCCGGGAGGAAGCACCACAGGGGCCGAGGAGGGCGGGGCCGGAAGGGGGCCGCAAGAGAGGGTAGGGGCCCAACGAGGTCGAGGGCATCCCCACCAGGGGTGGGGGGCCGGGCCGTCGTAAGGGGGCCGCGGTAGGCGTTGAGGCGAACGAAGAACACACCCGCCAGTCGAAGAAAGCTGGGTCGCTGAGCCGCGACGTGGGGACGGGCGTGAATATCCCGGTGGTCCACAGCAGGAAGGAGCGCTGCCCGACCGCAGGCAAGGGCACAGCGGCGGCGGGCACGAAGTCCCAGGGAGGAAGGAGCAGTGGACAGGGGAGAGGCCAGACGGGGTCAGACGGGGCGCTTTCCGAAGCCGCCGTCGAAGCGGTGGTCCCGAAGCGTGCCACCCAGGCGCCGATGAAAGCGTGGGAGACATCCTGAGCCGCCGTCGAGGTGGTGATAAAGCGAGAGGGTCCACACGAGGCCGACCAGACATGATCGAACCTCCTCTCAGGCACCAGGGAAAAGCTCAAAAGGGTCGTACTGACCACGGTCAAAAACAGGTAGGTGAAATTGTGAGATTGTCCACACGAGGTCAACCGGCTGGTCGAACCTCCTCTCAGGCACCACAAAAAAGGGGTTAACAGACGGATGTCAACCGATGGATGTCGATAGCCATTAGCAGCTAGCCGTTAGCTGTTGCCGTTAGCCGCTAGCTGGCAGCCGTTGGTAGCTGCTAGCCGTTGCTAGCTATCGTGGTTAGCTGCTAGTTGTCGTTAGCTAGCGCAGCCTGGACCTGCAGCCGCACGTCCCGAAGAAACAGCCCCATGAGGTAGAAGTCGGGTTCTCCCATACGTAGCAGGTCGTGTATCGTCTCCGTGTAGTCGGAAGGCCTGCTGTCTTCCAGTGCCGAGACGATGTGGGAATGGCGAGCGACGTCCTCAGCCATTCCGTGGGGGGCGCACCGAGCCTCAGGCCGCGTGCCGGTGGCAGCCACGGACATCTCCAAAAATCCCCGGCATTCCGAGAAAAACTCAGTTTATTTTTTCCCGTGTTCGGTACAGTCTCGGAAACTTTGCGAGACTGTGTCAGGGTCACCAATGTAGAACGACACATTTGTCAAGTGTTTTAAACAACATATATTATATTTTAATATTAAAATTAACAAATGAAATAGTCTTTGTAATAAAAAAAGATCAAAGGGAAACATGGTTCTCCCTTTAATCATAACATAAAGGCAATAACGGTTTCTAAATTACTTCAAACAACACATTCCAAAAAAAACCGGAAATCATCCGCAGAATTTACTCGGACTTACGAATTTCACATTTATAACCGTTAATTTTGGCAAGAAAATGGGAGCTAAGGGTGGCCCCAGGCAGACGCAAGCCAAGTGCCGACGCGGGCGTGCAAAACAGCTATGAGGATGGCCTCGCGCCACAAAGTCGCTTCCGGTTAAAGGTCCTGCTCGCAGAACCGCGACCCGGCCGAGTTTTCAAAAACAACTAAAACCGGTTATAAAAGGACCCTTGTCCATGAGAAACTTTTTTTACGTAAGGTAAGTAACGTATTTAATAGGACTCCCATATACACACTCACCTAGTTGACCGAACTGTATTAAGTGGTTCTTGCCCTTCGACACCCATCCCCCATAACAAAGGCGTGCCGGTATATACAACCAATGGTTATATATAACACACGGGAGGACCAAAAAGAGAGAGGAACAGAAGGGCCCGAACGCTGGGCCTGTTGTAAAGACGACGAAGTAAATTTCGGTCGAAAACATTGGAGGTAAACGTGGCGGAGGC